TTCAGTTCATTTTCACACAGCGACAGGTGCTGATGTTACATTGTGATGAACGTATAAAGGTTATAATTAAACATTAAATTATCAACTACGAGTTTTCTTGTATATGTACAGTAACTTTTAAAGGGCAATGTCGCTTTCAAAAAATTCAAGTAGCAAAAAAAGAACTATTGAAAGTGAGCGCCGTGTTTTTCAAGAAAAATGGGAAATCGCTTATTTCTGTTGTGAAATAGAAGTTAAAATTACATGTTTGATTTGTGGGCAAAATATAAGTGTTCCACTTTAGATAATTAAATTGAAATCATTCCTAAATAATAAATATGATTAAATTTCCTTGTATCAAAATCTAATGTATATTTCTATTTTGAAGTGCGACCCTGGACTATTATTTATAGGGCTGAGGTGGCCCTCTGTACAAGTTGAGTTTGACATGCCTGGTCTAGAGAAGGTGGCAGCCTCACCGTCTCACAATCCTATGGGCCTTCGCGTCTTATTACAGGGACAGCTTACCAAAGCAAAACAACAAGATTTCGTGTGGGGAAGAAAAAGGGACAATTTATAGGCGCTTCGGCTGCTGTTATAAAATTCAGGTTAAGACCTTAATAAAGAGGTCCGTCATGACCTTAATTAAACTTACACGCTTGTCAGAAAGTAGATGGCGACCTTCAGTAATCTGTATTTAACTGTAAGTTTGGAAACTATAAACTGATGAACCATCACAGTTAAGCATGCAAAATTTGGCGCGATGATGGATTGCAAACGTGTAAGCCTGCCGATATTTTTTGCCCGGTGTCCTCCACGGTCAGCGCATTAGAGCGAGTCTATGCTACGAACTTGCTTCGTCTGCAGAGAGAACATTCGTAGGCTGGCAGTGGCAAGTGGCAACAGGCACCTGGGAAAAGCACACAGTATCTACTAATAACAGCGATCGTACGAGCTCAACGTCTACCTTCTTACTGAGTCAACATAGTGTCGCTGCGCATGGTCCCCAGTCTTAGGCTCGCCGACTTGCGTCAGACCACTATGCATCAGAGATCCATCGGCCAAAATCTGCCCGTGTTTGACAGGTGCAGACATGGAAACGATGAGGAACCCCGTGTTATATGTGGCAGGTATAACATAGCAGAAACTGTACCAGTGGAAATAATGCATCATTAACTCTTATAATTCTCTAATACACATTAATAGTTCTGGAACCAGAATGGCTCAGTTGGTACAGCGACTAGGCTAAGGGTTGGATGACTGAAGAATTTAGGTTCGATTCCCGGCAGGGGCAAAAGGCTTTGCTCCATAGCATCCAGACCGGCTCTAGGACCCACCTAGCCTACTTCACAACGGTACCGGAGGCTGTTTCCTCGGAGGTAAAGCTGACCATTCACCCCCATCACGTGTCAAGGTTAAAATGGTTTACCTATACATCCACTCCCCCATAAATTGACATGGTGTAATGCTGAAATAAACTAAGCACAGTGACAACTTTACCGTTTTACTTCTAATTCACAAGCCTTTTTAGTTTTGTGATGTAGACTCGGAATATTGAAGTAAAGTAGGCGCCGAAATTTCTTTTAAAATTGCATTAATGAACGCGCGATTCGTACGGCTGGCCATTTTACGCAAGTCTTCCTACATTATCTACAAGTTCAATAGCCGATTTTGATTAAATCTTTTACTTACGGGTCTATACCATAGGTCGTAGACCGCGTCTCATCTTTGTCGATACCTGTCTGCATGACTCAGAACTAACCAGCAAACTAACGCCATGAGCTGAGTCCTTCTTGAGCAGCCGCCATTTATTCAGCTACTCAAAAATGTTCCAACATTTTATGGAACCCGACGGTTCATTACCATGTTCACAAGAGCCCTCCACTGATTCCTATCCTGAGCCAGATTAATCCAGTCTTCACCAACCCATCCTCTTCTTGTTTATATAATACACATAAATCGTTAACGTATGCTATTTTGTCTTCATATATGGCAGTAAGTAGTAACGAATAGGAACAGAAGATGGTAGAATTAAACGCGCAGTAGAAGTTATTCTTAGTCGTTGTTGCAAGCGGCCTCCGTAGTCTAGGGGTAACGTTCCCACCTCATGACTCTAGGTACGCGGGTTTATAAGCCGTGGGTCCCGTGTCGTAGATTTACGGCACGTAAAAGAACCTCATGTTTCTAGGAGACCTCTGAGAAAAATTATTAGGTAAAAACTTTCCCGCCCAAGTAGTTTCCAATGCCTCTGGTAGATGGGGGAAGTAGCAAGGTACCGAGGGCCGACCTCGTTGGCTCAACGGGGCTGATAGCACGCACCGTCTACCGGTAGGGTATGGGAACAGTAGAAATTAAAGGGGGACGCACAGTGGACCAATAACTGGTCTAAGTGCATGGGGAAACCCACCCCCTCCAATAATAATAAAATAATAAGAGTCGTTGTTGCAGTGTTTGTCTTTGCCAAAGAATTTCGTAGCATAGAGCTTAGTGCATCCTTCCATCAGTCTATGTGTGTCTGTATGTATATCCCCTTATCATCGCTAGGCAGTGGCTCGGTAAAAACTTTACAGCGGCAAAGAATACACACGCAAAAATAGAATTGTTTGACGCATCATTTTGTATGCTGTCTGTGTCATATCATAGGAAAACAGGTGATTAGTTCTTCCCAGAATTTCTTGTTATTCATTTACGTGCTGAACTCAACAACCGAGAACCAGTTATAGTCATCACGAATACAAAACAAGGCCAGAACAAAGAGAAACAACNCTGGGAGAGCTCAGTGGAGGATCATCTGAAAGACATCTCGGCGTCAGCAAAACTCTGGACAAAATGAGACAGTGGTGCGGCTTGTTACACGTGAGGAGCATCGTTAAGAATTCGTGCCAACGATCTGACACCTGCGCATCAGCTGAGGTCCTCGAACCCGGAGCGGGGCTTCATGTACCAGTATAACAGCGGTTAGCCGACCGAGAGGAAACCCATCGCCATCGTAGGATTCCTTCAGCACAGCCAGAGGGGAAATGGATACCTCCTGACTGCCATGGACTATGTGATCAAGTGGCTGCACGTTTACGCCATCTCTTAACAAGGGGCTTCATGGAGCCTGACGTTATGCTGACCAGCTTCTGTCGTTTCGGAGTCCCGAGCGACCAAGGCCGGAACTTTGAGTCGCATATTCTGCAGTAAATGCTACGACGCCCCAGGATCCGCAAGAAGTGCCCTACTTCTCTGCATCAGCAGTAATTGTGCTGAGATATGGGGTTGTTGCGGCGTTGAGTATCAAGATTATAATCTTGTGAGATGTTGCGTCGTGTAGTTTGGTAGATGAGTACAAACGTTTCAGAGGTATCTAATGTCTCCTTTGTCAGTGTAGAAGAGGACTTGAATATGACACAGTAAATTCCTTTGAAACGTTAGATCCCATCTCAGAAAACCATAATCTTGCAATATTGCTATTTAATAGAGAGGATGTGGGAGGGAGTGTTCGCAGTCTATATTAATAAGCTGTTACCACGGTCAGTTCCAGACTTTCAAAGCAGGTTGGAGACCATCGCAGACTTTGCTACCGAACTTGCGTTTAAGCCTTTTAAGACTAATACTGATCGCCAAAGAATATTCACGATATAAGAACAATTTTCTTAACTTTTGACTTTCTGGCATTAATGTCTGTTCTCTAGTATCTATAAAGAAGGATCTGTGACTTAATTCCCACACCTTTCCACTATTTCGACCAAATTTGGCGTGATTGTAGAGGACCTTCCCACGGAGGTTTCAGACACGTGAAACACCAAACAACATATTTTTTTTCCTTACTGCTCGAGAACCATTTGTTCAAGAGTATTGAGGCTTTCGGCAATAGATAGAACTTACATAAACAGCTTTACGTACTCCATATGTGTTATATTTTCTTACTTTTTAAACTTTATTATTCCAAAAAAGAAGAGCTTTTAAATATTCGCAAAAATGTGGAGATTTAGTTTGTAGTGGATTTGTTTATTTATTTACAATTATATTAATATAGTTAAAATCAATATTATAGCGATTCATTGTATTAAACCTCCTAATTAAGCATGTGCATTATTCCAGGGCAAATCCGAGTAGATAAGCTGGTTCGATATGTTTACTTTTTTCCTGAACTCCGATTCGGTTTTAAAATTCCGGTAGGGAGGGCGCAGACGCGTATCTTGACCCACGTCTCCATGCTGGCTCCCATCACTCGCCGGATTCACCTGGAGCGAAGAAATTTGTAACTCTGGGAGCTACACAATGGCTGAGAATGAAAGCCACCGTGCTTGTTTTCTGAAGTAAGACCTTGACCATAGTGAAAACAGCCGCTTGGTTTGTTGCGTAATTAGAAAGTAGTGACCACGTCACACAGCCTGACCCTTCACAATTTAAAGAAGGAATCTGTTTGTTCGACTTATTGATGTTACACGATTACACAAGATATGTATACCTTGCTTTTACATAGAAGTCGATAACGTGTTAATCTCTCTGTGTATATATTCATGTATGGTTTGTTTAATGCGTTTATTTTTATTCATGTATGGTTTGTCTACCGACGCTATTAGTTAACTCGGAATGGATAGCAGCAGTGGCCAAACGTACTGAACGTCGGAGCAGTGTACGATAATTTTCAGAACTTCGGAAGCCGCAAACGTCCGTGGGTTGGATAGCACGGGTGTTCAGATGCAAGCTTTCACGCAGAATTTTTTTAAATGTTTAATGAATATATAAAAATAGAACCGATTGATATTCTTTCCACGAGTTGCATTCGCGACTCACAGTTTGGTCATGTCTTCTATTTTTCTTCGAATTGTAGGATGACTAATGATTAACGAATTTGCAATAATGTGGAAGGAAGCAATCGTAGCCAAGTTTGAGGCATTATTCTGGCATTCGCCTGATCATTGGGTCAGCTTCCAAAACCTTTGTTTTTAACTAATATCTAATAAATCTTTAGGTTATAACATGCCATCGTCATAACCTTTAGACTTATCTTAATTCTGATGTGTTCGCAGTTAAGGAGGCTCTTCTGTCTGATCTGGAGGAGCTGCCAAATCTGAAGATTGGAGATTATATTCTTCACATAGAACTCGATGAGCTGACTCCTGAGGTAAAGGAAATCGCCAGGAAGGAGCTCAGGGAAACGCCTGAAGTCAGGAAAGAAGCAATCGTAGAACTCAGAGATCTCCTTCGAGGTAAGGATTGCTTTCCATCTGGCCAACATGTAATTCAGCTTCATGTGCCATGAAGTTCCCAGATGGTGTAAAGAATTAGATCAATACAGAACAAAATGAAACCCGCCAGTTAAATTTAAATATCTTTATTTTCTTCTTTTTTTTTATTTTGAGGTACTATAAGGACTTCCGACTATACAGCACTGATTTTTATAATGATTAATGAGCAAGGAAGACTTGGAAGAAAACTGTCCTGGCCAAACTGAGTAGTACCCCAAAGTTTTGCTTGGAAGGACTGAGGAAAACCACGAAAACCGTCAGTCAGGATAGCAGAGATTCTAACTGAGCATCTCCCGAATAATTTTGCAAGTTCGGAGCATTACCGCTACAAAAACGTGCTTGATGCTTGAATGGAAAATGAAATTGGCTGTCTGCTATGGTGTGACGCATTGTAGCTTTGTGACGTTCTTCGATTTTTGGGGAGATATGGACTAGATTCATCTGGCTGAGGATGGGGACTAGAGGTGTGCTCGTGCCAACTCAGCAATTATCCTTCATAAAAGATAGGAAAAATATTTTGACTAGCTAATTGAACTATAGCTTCTCAAAATGGCATAACCCATGGAGTTAGTTAACTCCGACTGTACACATCTAGTGGACAGGTTTTTATTTAAATAATGTAGTCAGACCCTATCCATGGCATAATTGTATAAGAGTTTTAAACTTTTTTTTTTCAGAGGAGACTGATCTCAAATGTCCTTTAGACAAGGAAGCATGGCTGGTAAGGTTCCTTAGACCGTGCAAATTTTACCCAGAGAGCGCATTTGAGCTGGTGAGTTACACATTTTGTATTGACCCAGAATATTGTAGTTTTTAGACATCAGGAAAGAATACGGCTATATTTCGTTCGTGATGTCCATGGAGGGAACGTAAATACAGTATATGCCGAGTGCGTAGTATACATGCCTGTTGATTCTTTCGCATAGGCAGCTGCCAATAGCTCGACTCCACACAAACGCAAAGTTGTTATTTATTCCGTCAGTATAACAACAGTCCGGTAACCAAGGAAATAATAAAGTCAGCATATAGCGACCAAGTTGTAGCTTTTTTTTTTGAAAACAATACTCTTCTGATTGCGTCTTTGTATTTGTGTGTCTGTTTGGATGCTCTGTCGCTCTTTATCTTTGGACCAGTGGACCGATTTTTATGAACATTAGTAATAATATTATACCATTGTAGTCCACCCCACTGCCATAAATATTTGGTTCTTGCGATGTGTAATAACAAGGCAGACTCGCAAACTTGTGAGGTGGGAACGACCTTATCGACACTTAGATCCTGATATGATATATGGTAGTAGAGAAATATGCAACTACCGTTGAAATAATAAGGTAAAGTTGTCCCTGTGCTTAGCTAATTAAGCACTATGCCATGAATTCGTATGGGGGAATGGATGTATAAAGCTATATTTTCTTGACCTCGGCACTAGCTGGAGGTGAATGGTCAGCTACACGCCCCGGCCGCTTTATCCCCGGGGAAAGAGCCCCTGGTACCCATTCTATAGGAGGCTGGGTGGGCCCCGGAGCCAGTCTGGACGACGTGGAGAAGAGAAAATTCTTGATCCTATCGGGACTTGGAATTCCGACCCCTCTGTCGTCCAGCCCTTAGTCAGTTGCTATACCCACCACACTATCCCGGCTCGTACCGTTGAAACAATTTTCTTTTAAAATTAAAAATAACCATATGACGACCGTCTAATGTTTTAATGACGATAAGTTATGAATCATTTGAGGTAGGCCTTTGTACGGAAGTAGATCATGGTTACACTACGAAATATTGTTTAAGTCAACGGTCATAAACACGGTGACGATGCGACATTTTGAGGTTATGTCCGACAAATTTAATGTGGGGAAACTCTGCAATTTAATGATGCAAATATATATTAATTAGGAAAGTAGGCTGTATCAGTTCAACTCGGGGCTCCATATTGCTAATATCAGTTGCTTTATCTTTAAATTTCTGATTCCAATGTCCGTTTCGTCCATTACATTTTAATCCACTGTCATGTTGAAATGTGTATCACGAACCAAACTTTGCAGTATAGTGATTAGAACTCCTGCTCCGTATTCGAGAAATACGGGTTCGAATCTTGGCTGTAGGCTGACTATTCTTACTGATGATATCGAGTGTTACAATCACAAAACGAAAGCAGTAGTTTCCACCAACAGTTTTAAATAACCTGATGATGACCATTGTTGTTCGAAACATGTAGTTCAATTTACAGAAGCTCCTAAATTAGGTTTAAAGGACGCATTGTGTGCATGTAAGAAACTTTCAAACAAATTTTAGAAGGACACTTTGTACGTAAGACGGTGAATCATTGACATTTGTTGAATAACTTACTGATGATTCTCGTGATTTTATCGGCCCACCCAGAAAAACAGATAGGACGTTGCAATCGTATGCTTAGCATATAGTATTCGAGGTTCGATACCCGATCCACAATGCCACAAACTGAGGTTTCTTTTGATAACACATCCAAATCTTTTCAAACTCACTGTTTCCAAATATCGTACGTTTCAACACTGTGGTAAGCAGTGAAGTTAAAAAGATGTCATAAAATGAAAGTACAAGCAACCAATCAGCAAATCAATACAGGCAAATAGGGTGGGTGTGTTTTAAAACGAACTGACATCGTCAACTTTTCCGCTCATCCCTCATCATTCGCTTATAAGTTCGACATTCAGATCAATTTGCCATTTCTTATTCCATGCCTTGTGTCCGCTTCAATTGAAACGCCATCATTATATAACCTAAAACTCGTCAACTTGACATTACCATGTTTAAAGTGAAATGTAATGATGGCTTTAATGTATATCTCTGACCGTGATTCATAGCGTAAGCAAAATGTTGACGTAATACGAACACATTAGTTCTTGGTGCCATGTAATTTTGCCTGTAAATAATATAGTACTTGCTTAACATGCTTACGAACGGAAATCTTATAAACTGCGTACGTGGCTATTCTTTTGTTGGAGCGTCCTTCAGGCTGTATTACCAAAGTTATCTTCAGATACGTGCTACTCAAGAGCCGAAACGAATTTGTAATTTTTTATATGACACACAAATTTTCCACTGGTAGGCACTGTGCATTTGAAGCTGTCAGAACGGCATTTATAAAGATTACTGTTTTTTTTTTGGGATAACACAGTAATCTTCATAGTAGACCTTGGCTGGAATCCAACCGTCATACGTCATTAAATTATGAATCTTGTTCATCCTGTTTTTCTTATCAGATTAGATTATTAATAGAGCGTTCCGGTTTCCAAATTCTTCCGTCCTACTTGTTGAGGTTTATCCATAGTTTCATCCAGTATGGTAGACAATTCCGTGCTGTCTTGTGTCACTTGTCTTCACCCAATCTCTTCTTCTTTTCCTTCTTCGTCTTTAGTCTTCATATCCTGTTTAAAGTCCCCCATGCGTAACTAATTAAGCACTACGCCATGAAGGCGTATGGGGGAGTGGATGTGTAGATCCACATTTTCTTGACCACGACACTAGCGGTGAGTGATCAGCTTCACAACCCTGCTTCTTTACCCCCGAGGAAAGAGCCTCCGGTACCAGTTGGATAGGAGGCTGAACGATGTGGAAAGAGAAAATTCTTGACTCTACCGGGACTCGAACTCCGACCCTTTGATCGTCCAGCCTCGTAGCAAGTCGCTATACCGATTGCACTATCCCGGCTTCTTCAGATCCGTTTACCAGATTCAGTTCAGGATTAATCTCCATAATCATTAATATTGTCGATAGTTAATGGCTCCGTGAATGGGGATTCAGACGTCAATAAGGCCCATTCTGTCTTAAAGGTATTTAATATGAAATTACTTGTCCAGATGTTGCACATCCACAAAGTTTATTTCGAATGCGTGGTGATATTTTCCTTCGAAATTTTATCAGTTTTCTTCTTCTTGTCATTGAGTGATGGGTGAGAATTGTAAATCATTCGAAATCTTTCCCGGCTTTATCCTTACCAATTCATAATTATCGGAGTTACCTCCACGAAAGGCCGCGCCATCGCTCAAGCGGCTAGTCTGTGGCTTCCAACCGCGGCGGCCCGGGTTCGATCCCAGGTCTGGTCAAGTGGGATTTGTGGTGGACAAAGTGGCGCTCCACAATCACTCTCACCTAACATCTGGGGCTGGTACAATAGGCCAGAAGTGGCCTCAGTGGGAGGGACTTAGTCCCACCCCACTAGCAATATAAGAAAAAGAAAAGAAAATACCTCCACGATACTCACCATAACCCACATTTTGAAGGTCCAAACCCCGAGACCGACCTGTGTGAGTAAGGTCCTTCGATGTCTGCATTTCAAAAATGCATTATGTAACTCGTCCTTATGCCTAGATACCATCTTCAGTGTTTATGGATTAGAATTCCGAATTGACTTTGCAAATAGTGAATGAAACTTTTAGACAATTCCTAGACTTCTTTGGCTGGGAAAGAGCCCATCGCAAGAACTATATCTATACAGGAGGATACAAGCTTAAAAGAAACACGGGCATAATGCCCATACCCCGAGCAGGATTTGAACCCGCGATCACAGTGTTCAAGAAGTATCTGATTCAGAACTGCCGCTGTGATCGGCACGTTTATATCTTCTGTTTATTTTCCCCAGTCCTCTTGGTAATGTGAAATGGACATCTGCTTCAGAAATTATTGAGACATGACTCGGAAAATAAATGAATTTGATAAAGGACACCAATCTCGTATTAGCTTTGTGAATGTTGAGAATTTCTATCTGCTTACAATTTCCCACATTATTTTGATGAAATGAAAGAAATACTTCTGCCAGCTATCAAATGTAGAACAGGGGTTGCATTGCTAGGCAGACTGAAGTACCTACATCTAAGAAATTAGTACCTGGAGTTGAAATTGATGTGGAAGAGTTGAAATGGTATAGATGTTTAGGTATTGATACAATGCCAGCAGAATTGAATCAAGCAGAGTCAATATATTTTACTGATGGCTGTCATGCATCCAGTTCATAATTTGTAACAAGACAACATTTTTAATATCTGTAACTAATGAACTAATCACCACGATGGTAGCAGAATACAAAAATTCAGAAGTGGTGCTTCTAACTAAATATTTTCACATGAGCCTGAGTCAGTGTCATCCACTTCACATCTCCCGAAGATTCATTTATTCTCTCTCTCATCATTCTTTGAGGATGACTCATCATCAGATAGCCATGTAGATCATTAGGACATAATCAGAAAGTTACTGGATCCCACCTTAAACATATTGTCACGTGTCAGGGGTGGTACACGTGATGAAAATAAGGAGATCTAGTTCGGATGATTGGATTTATTAGCACCTTAGTTACAAGTTCTCTTAATCACACTTAAATACAGTGCTACTGCTGATATACACAATTTCCAGTTCACTGTTGTATACTCATTAGGATTGTCTGTCTTCATTATCCTTCTCCTAGCAACTGATCTTAACACAGACACTAGCAGTTCACATCACTGTGAAGTCATCTTGCAGTCCACCTGGGTCGACTTGGCACGGCAGCCACTGATTGGCCTATTTGTACCTGCCCCGGGTGATTATGATGATGGAGAATTTGGTGGAATGAAGATTGGCAGGGGAAACTGAAGTACTCGGAGAAAACCCTTCCCAGCGCCACTTTGTCCACCACAAATCCCACTTGACCAGACCCGGGATCGAACCCGGGCCACTGTGGTGGGAAGCCAGTGACTAACCGTTCGAGCTATGGCATGGCCTTATGAAGTCTTCAGTCACTCTGGAACTTTGAACTAAAAATTCTTCTGGACTCACTCCTCCAGCCTACAACTGACTCGTAACTGCTCTTGAACTAATTCTCTCAAGTCAATGTAACATTGCAACTGAGGGTCAGTCAGTCTGTCCGTCTTGGTGTCAAGCTCCGGCTGGGGCTCATGACCACATATTTCTTTTTACATGAAAGTTACTGTCCTGTCCATGTGGGGCACCCTCTCAGATGAGAGGCTGGCTGTCATAGTCGATAGTATTAGTCCATTGTCACTATGTACACTTATTTGCAATTGAGTCTTAATATCTAGTATGTATAATATATACAAGGCCTCTGTCAGTCTAGGCTCAGTACAGCAGACTATGCCCTATTTCTAGTAGTATTCGCTGCCATGGGAGTGTAGTCACTTGAACGGTCGTATGCCTGACTGTCGCCAAGTTTGAGCCCCTTATACTTGTACTTTCTATGTCAGGTTTCACCTTGTTAATTCTATCAAAGTCAAACTCAAAGTCACATTGTGACTGATGGTCAGTCATTCAGTCAGTAAGTCTTGGTGTTTAGCCCCACCTGAGGCTCAAGACCAGATATTTATTACTGTTTGACAGTTACGGTCTTGTTTTTGTGTTGTACCCTCTCTGACGAGAGGACAGGTCTCTCTTTTGTATATGCTGCCAGCGCAGTCTTTCTTGGGTCCGAGTCCCTTGGGACTGGTGACCATATTTTACTGTCTCAGATTTGAGACTTTCCTTTTTGTTGCCTCCTATGACTCGCAGGGTCACTGTGGAGGTATTCGACCTGGCCTCCACATGGGTTTAATTCTGTCAAAAAGTCAAAAGTCAAAGTCACATTGCGACTGACAGCTAGTCAGTCAGTAAGTCTTGGTTTCGAGCCCCATCTGGGGCTCATGACCAGATATTTATTACTGTTTGACAGTTACTGTCTTGGTTTTATGTGGCGCCCTCTCTGACGAGAGACCGGGTCTGTCTTTTGTATATGCTCTTGGCCGTTGCCAGTGCAGTGTTTCTTGGGTCCGAGTCCCTTGAGACTTGTGACCATATTTTACTGTCTCAGAATTGAGACTTCCCTTTTCGTCACCTCTTACGACTCGCAGGGTCACGGTGGAGGTATTCAACCCCGCCTCCACACGCGGCAGTACTTCCACCACATAGTCTAATTCTGTCACTGCATTCACTTCTCTTATAAGCACTCTGCACAGACCCCACAGAAGACACTCTCTCTATTGTTGATGATGTTGCCATTTATGCAGAAGTGTGTTTACTGAGCTGTTGCTTAGAAACGGCTTGAATAACCTCATTGTTCGACCACTGTTCAGTGTGGAGGACAGAAAAAACAGCCTCATCTATTGTTGCATATCCTAGCAACAGACTGTTTACCAAGAATCTGTCTTCAAGGAAATTTTTAACAACACATTGCGTAGCAATGGGTTTACATGTAACAATATGATGGGAAACAAAATCTTTGTACCAGAGATCTTATTGAGCATAGAGGAATTTCCTTTCATAGGTTTGCATAATTGAGGCATGACGTACACTCAGAGATGTTTTAGACAAAGAATGATATTAGCCTCTCATCTTCTTTCTGATCTTCCAAATGAATATGTTCCAGCAGGAATGTATGTCTTTTCTCTCCCATTTTCTGCTCATGACATTGTTTGCCATGATAAATAACCTCAAGAGGATGTGGACTTTTACTGGTGTGTGAGCGAGTTCACCTGGATTGGTGGGTTGGTTGGAATGTGTTGAAGAAAGGTCAGTTGATCAACAGGGAGACCAATTCCCTTTGGGCATTATAATGCTGGCCTGCCTCTCTAAGGGACATAAATATGGAGGGATAACCTGGCCTTTGAGGAGTCTTCTGTGCCAGACTTGAGTGGCATAGTTTACTTCTTTAATATCATTTAATTTTAAATATCTTTGACTTGGCAGTTTATAATATCAAGGTCATTGTAGAGGTGAGATAATTGCAATTTTAATATGTGCTTCTATAGAAGTAAATGCAAAATGCCTCCAGAGATTTTATTCATAAAACCAGTTTAAACCTATTATCCCTTGTGGAGGACACAGTTACCTGGAGTGCCTGATGGATGGCGCTAATCATCATATGACTTATATTTCTTGTTATTGTTTTGTAATATTATGATTTGATTGCCTTTTTCATTTTATTATATGTGGTATTCTAAAAACAGCCAGGCAGAGGGTATGAATGCAAAGAAGGGGGACAGGAAGATTCTATATTATATATGCATATTTTGTTATGCTGAGGCCAAAAGAAACTAATGGCTCTCAATGTGGCATGTTGCAGATTAAGAGGTACTACCAATTCAAGCAGAAACACAGCAATTTGTATGATGGGCTGGTCCCAACCAAGAACAAGAACATTTTTGATCACAACATTCTCACTGTGTTACCCAACAGGGACCAGTTTGGACGCCGTGTCCTCATACTTGAACTGGGAAGTAAGTAACTTAGCCATAGTCCATTTTCAGAAGAACAGGTCATGGAAAATGTCCACTCTTACAAAATTACTAATCCCTTTGCCACCTCAACAAAACATATGAAGAAAATAACACTATTTGTGACTTGCCAGATTATTTTCATTCATCTTTATTACATTATAAGTGTTTTTCATGTTAAAAATAGAAAGGATTTCAAAAGGACTATTTTCTTAATAGTTTTGAGTTCCAATTGTAAAACAGATGTTTGTACCTACATTTTACCAGCAAACATGGGTGGAACTTCATTCTAAATCATGTTTAGACTAATGTTAGCCTTAGCACATTTAATTATCATGATCTGTTGTGTCTGGAAATCTCTGTGATATGTGTAGGAATTTGATATAAAAATGCAACTAACCTTTTTGTTCAGTTATCTCCTGAAGGCTAGCCACAAATTCAATCTCAAGTAATGTGTTTAAATTAAAACATTAAGAATTGTGCAATATATTTGTACTGGCTTGATTTTAAAGACAATTCAGCACGTAAATCTATAGAATTTAATAAGATCTAAAACTTTTTGACGATGGTATATTGCTGGATGGATGGATAATGTCCAAAAACATAATACTTGTAACTATAGAATTTAGTTGTGAATTTGTGATACAGAAATACAAAGAACTTTGAGGACTGTAATTAAGTCAGTGTTTGAGAACCATCACACACAACAGACATTAGCACAGAATACAAACTGACACCAGAATGTTTGAATCTGGAGGAAATATGACAAACATGGAGAAAGTGTAGCATTAAAAGTGTTATATCAGAGTTACATATTGTTTCTATATTTGCATTTCTGTATTTCTCTTGTTTTTCTTTCATTCTGTATATCTGTCTATCAATTCTTTCATTCCCCCTTTCCTTAAGTAAAGTATGAGGGTAAGTCAATAAGTAAGTTACAAATGGATATAGAACTTAAACAAATAAGAGTACTGATTTGAAAAATGCTTTTATTTCTCAACATAATCTCCCTGTACATTGAGGCACTTGTCCCAACGTTTCACAAGCCCCTAAAAACCAACAGCATAAAATTCTTTAGGCTGCTGTCGGAACCAGGCGTTGACTTCCCTTTCTACAGCTTCATCATCGGGAAAATGTTCAGCCGAAAGATGATGTTTATGAGGGCCGAACAAATACAAGTCACTTGGAGCAAGGCCTGGGCTATACAGAGGATGCTCGAGGACTTCCCACTTGAAATTTAACATAATCTCATTTGTCTTGTTGGCTGTATGGGGACGCACGTGGTCATGGAAAAGCAACACACCTTTGGTGAGAAGTCCTGGTCACTTACATTGAATGGCCTTACAAAGTTTCCTGAGGATGTTACAGTAGTAGTTGGCATTTACGTAAATGCCAACTACTACTGGCATTTACGTAAATGCCAACTCCTAATGTAACATCCTCAGGATGTAAATGTTCCCTGTAAAGGGAAGTCACCACCTGGTTCCAACAGCAGCCCAAAGAATTTTATGCTGCTGGTTTTCAGGGGCTTGTGAAAGATGGGTCAAGTGCCTCATTGTACAGGGAGATTGTGTTGAGAAATAAAAGAATTTTTAAAATCAGTACTCTTATTTGTTTAAGTTCTATATCCATTTGTAACTTACTTATTGACTTACCTAATTATTTTTCGTTTATATTTTCTGTTCTTCTTTCCTGTCAGTTTTATAACAATAAATTTCAAATATGTGCCTATTAACTTTGCCATGTCTGTCTGTCTGTCTATCCATCTGTCTGCATACTTCAAAATCACTTAATAGTATGTAAGAAACTTCACATTGGCAAGTTTTACTAAAATGAATTAACACATTGCAATTTTGATTAAAACTGAATAATAATAATGGGAACTTTTAACGAAGACTTACATGCATTTCTGGATGAATTTCTTAACTCATACACAACTTTCTAAAATCTGATTAGAGCAAAAATATTTCTAACAAAATTTGTAAAGAAAAATGAAACATGTCTTATATCCAGTACACTTCTGTGTAAATATTACAGGTTTTGACAAAATTAAAAGAAAAGAGCTGATGCCATAATTATTACATTAAGTGTACATTTCCTGTTTTGTCTTTTTTCCTTTGGAGGATGGAAATAATTGCTCCATGATAATGAATATCTTGGAATAACAGCAATACAGGCCTATTTTACTTATTTCTTCTCCAGCTTATGTGTATTTATGTGGTATGAATTATAACTAAAGGTTTGTAACATAGAGTTCTGCAAGCTCAGAATGCAAAGACTTAGGCAACATGATCATCTTGCAGGTACTATTACTAAAAGTTTGTAACAGAGAGTTCTCCAAGTGCAAGCTTAGGCATCATGATGTAACAACAAATGCAGTGTACATATATTCACAATTATTGTGTGTTCAGGTACTGAAAGGGTTGTAGTGGTTTTGGTACCATGAAACTCGTTTTTTCTTCCCTCTTTATAAGCCATCAAATATGATCCGTAATTCTTGTTTGCCTTGAAGGTTTTGAAATATGTCCACTAGCATAAATAAATCAATAAAAATAACCAGTTAAGAATACAGGTTAAGAGTGGAGGCAAACTGACCTCATAATTTCATATGGATATACCCTTTCTTTAATACCAACCACTAATCACCTTCAGAGAATATTTCAAGAAATAGCCATTTCTAAGAAGTAATTCCATGTTATAAATGCAGAAGCACTGACATCTGTATTATGTCTTAGGATTGACACAGTAGGAATAAACGCCATGGTGCAGTGGTTTACACTGTGTCTTATTCAGGAGAGCTAAAGGAATGTGCAAGTGTCATGTTATAGGCCTACCAAATTGTCTATAAAGTCACTCATGATGTGGGGGGGGGGAGTAAAAATGATTAAGCTCTTAGTAATGTAAATCTTTGCCTGCTATTCTGTGTCTTGGTTTTAATTCACAAATTTCCTTTTTTATCTGTATTTAAAAGGACTTCAAAATGACAAATAAGGTTCCATGTTGTGGAGTATATAATTGATACTTAAGTTTTTTCATCTCTTACCCTACATCTGTCTTCTAGAACCTCCATATTACCTCATTTCTTCGAAGATTTTTATTTTATTGATTTTTATATTACAATATTATTTCCCTTATGAATTTAAAGATGTGTAATGCCAAATTTCAGATTGAAAAATACTGTATTTGATTTTAAAAATACAGAAGAAAATTGAAACATCCGAATGAAAATTTAGATAAATTTCTAGTATTTGAGGTTCTCATTGCAGTGACCATTGTGATTACTTCTTGTATATGACACCATCTAATGTGGTAGTTTACCAAATGTTTTGAGGAACATATTACATATTTCCTGAAGATGGAGTCAACACTTACTCCAAAACTTCTGTAAACATTTACCAGACATCATGGCATTACATATCAGAGCAGCATAATCTTCATACAAATTTTGGTCAAAAATCACTCCCTCTCTTCCGAACCTGTGATTGTCACATGTCACCAAGTGTCAAATATATCATTTGTTAACTATAAGGGGAAGTACACAATGACATGGTAGCAATTCTAATTTTATGTATGCAGAAAAATGGAAACACAACAAAGTTTCACTGGACGAGGTCTACAAAGGCTGTGTGCTGTTCCTTGAATGTGCCATGTTGGAGCCTGAGACACAGGTTGCAGGTGCTGTGGTAATATTTGACATGGATGGCCTTTCCCTACAGCAAGTCTGGCAGTTCACCCCACCCTTTGCCAAGAGGATTGTTGATCTACTCCAGGTATATTGCACTACCACATCTAAGTAATCACATCATATTATGTCACATTATCATTTGAAAGTGATATGCCTAAGTAATATCAGGAATAAGCAATGACTTAACCTACTGTGTCATATCATAAATTATTGAGTTTAAAGCTATATGTACATATTATTTTTTCACGGAAAGTGCTAAGCAATCATTTAACCATGTAATATAATCACAGAGAAAACTAAGTACATGTTACTGTCTCGTCACCAAAATGCAGGGCAAAATCATGACATAAAGATAGGAAACAGATGTTTTGAAAATGTGGCACAGTTCAGATATTTGGGAACAACGATAACAGATCATAAACTGATTCAGGAGGAAATTAAGAGGCGATTGAACTCGTGTAATGCTTGCTACCATTCAGTCCAGAATCTTTCGTCTTCTCGTCTGCTGTCCAAAAACATAAAAATTAGAATATACAAAACTATAATTTTGCCTGTGGTTCTGTATGGGTGTGAAACTTGGTCTCTGACATTAAGGGAGGAACATAGACTGAGGGTGTTTGAGAACAGGGTGTTGAGGAGAATATTTGGACTGAAGACAGATGAAGTGACAGGAGGTTGGAGAAAACTGCATGAGGAGCTTCATAACTTGTACTCTTCTCCAAGTATAATTAGAATGATCAAGTCAAGGAGGATGAGGTGGCAGGTCATGTAGCACGAATGGGGGAGATGAGGAATGCATATAGGATATTGGTGGGAAAGCCAGAAGGAAAGAGACCACAGGGAAGACCAAGGCGTAGGTGGGTGGACAATATTAGAATGGATCTTAGAGAGATAGGAAGGGATGGTATGGATTGGATAGATCGGGCTCATGTGAACAGGGTGATGAACCTTCGCGTTCCATAAAATGCTGGGAAATTCTTGAGTAGCTGCAGAATTGGCAGCTCCTCCAGAAGAGCTCAGCTCCATGAGTAAGTAAGTAAGTAAGTAAGTAAGTAATACTATAATGTAATATTAATAATGTGGATGTGATTTAATCAGTAATGTGGAAGTCAGAAATTATCCACACTTTCACCATACAACATCTTTAGGTTTGACACGCTGCCTTCTGCGCATGCATGCTTAGAGTTGTTACTACTGTGGTCACATGATCAAAGTTTGACCTTGATCGCATAATTTTCCTTGATGCTGTGACAGTATAAACATGGCTGCTCCACTGGTAGTGTGCACCAAGGAGGAACAAAGAATGGTGATCCGATTTCTCTGGTTGGAAGGTGTGTCAGGGGCTGAAATTCATCGGGGGCTTTCAACACAATATGGGGACAGTGCTCTACCATGTAGAAGTGTGTGTGAGTGGACCAAGAAGTTTAAAAGTGGCCGGACAAGAAATTCAAGACCCAATATTTCATGGGAAAGGTGATGCTAACCGTATTTTGGGACTCAAAAGGGCCTACACTGAAAGATTACCTGGAAATGGGTGTACAATCAACAGTGCAAGATACAGTGATTTGCTGGCCAACAATCTGAAGCCAGCAATTCACACCAAACGCCGAGGCCTATTGTCAAAGAAAGTGTTGTTGTTGCATGAAAATGCACGCCCACACATGGCCGGCCAGACCTTTGAAACCATTAACCATTTGGGTTTCAAGGTGCTGGAACACCCTGCTTACAGCCCAGATCTCGCCCCTTCCGACTATCATTTCTTTGAGCCGTTCAAAGATGATTTATGAGGTCGTAGATTTTCTAAGGACAAAGAAGTGCAGGGAACGGCACATAAATGGTTGTGCAACCAACCAAAAACCTTCTTCTTGGAGGAGATATGCAAGCCTGTGGACCACTGGACCAAGTGCATTGAAAAGGGTGGAGACTATATAGAAAAATGACATACTTGTTCAACCCTTACTTTTGTGTATATAAATTGGGAAAACAGGAGTGCGGATAATTTTTGGCTTCCTTACGTATATGGTATATTAATTATTCGAAAGTAATATATCTCGTTCATATTATGGATAAATAATCTTGTAACCATATTGTATAGTAATATCATATTAAGTATTTGAAAGTTAAGTTTCATTCATAGCATCCAAAAACTGTTACGTCAATGTGTAAATAATTCATAATTCTCAGTTAAGACTGAAGGATTTGAAGGAAAAACTCTAATGATATTGGAGTACCAAGTCACTCTGTTCTAACAAATATTTAAAACGAAAATTTTTAACATATCAGTAAATTAATCCATTTGAACTTTGAGTAATGATGTAACCATCAGTTCAGTTCAGAGTCATGAGGTTAGAAGGTGTTTACCACCTGACATTTCATTTCAATTTTCGTTTATATTTATTTAATAATTAATCAAAGCAATAAAATAATGCATCACCGAAGAAGACTCAAATCTAATCTGAAGGTTTACAGTAATGGTATATGCACTTGATCATTGACCTTTAAACATTGTGCATTTTCCTGTTATTATTTAAAAGGTTTTGGAGACTGGGCTCCTCAGGTAGAAAGCCTATTCACTTGTGCACAATTATTAGGGATAATCCCTATCTCTGGACATCAGAACCAACACAAGGCAGGATATGTAAACCTATTCGACATACAAATCTATTTGAATTATCATTTCTCCAACACAAGGTCTATCTGAAAGGCAGGGCTGATATGACAGAGTGTGCAGGCTAAGCAACTACTTGGGCAACATGCTTTATGGGGCAGTGCATTTTACAGACTGTTTGTTGAAATGAAAATTAATTCCTCATGGTCTTCTGCTGATATTATGACCATTAAGTAATCTATATATCTTATACAGTGCGTACAATCAAGTGCGCGCCGCGGCTGCAATTTGCCGTGAGTCATACCACCGCAGAACGGATGCAGTCGCGGGGAGTGTTGCAACTCCTCCCCGCGACTGCATCCATTCTGCGGTGGTATGACTCACGNGTGACAAAGTTTTAAAAGAGTTGAGATGATTTAATTCATAGTGGGGACAGTGAAATTTCTCATTGCTTGGGGCAGCAGTTAGGCTTATGCTATCCTGCTGAAAGACTAAGGGCTTTCAAAAAATATGTTGCTCTAAAATATGTTTCATAAACTACAGCATGTATAAGCCAGAGCCTGTATTTTTGTTTAATATAATATTATCATCTAACAAACAAACAAACAAACAAACAAACAAACAAACTCTGCAGCCTGTAGTCCACAAGCGAACCATACCGACCGAGTGACTGCCACTTGTCGCCAAAGTTAGTGCCAACTTTTGCGGATAGAGGGTGTCACGTGGTCAGTGCAATGGTCCCCCATGGCTGTTAATCTCGGTTTTCTAGACTGGAGCCGCTATTTCCTTGAAAAAGTTCCTCAATTATCCTCACAAGGCTGAGTGAACCCCGTTCCAGACCCACTACTTGTCAGTAAATCTGGTAACACCGGGAATGGAACCCAGGACCTCTGGATCTGTAGGCAGGAACTCTGACCACTAGACCACAGAGGCGATATATCATCTAACAGCTGTACATATAATTTCATGGTTTAACTTTTTCTTACAGGATGCTATTGCTTTGAGAATAAAGAACATTCATATAGTCAATCAGCCTTACTTATTCAACATGGTGTTCGCTCTCTTCAAGCCATTCCTGAGGGAGAAACTACGAGGCAGGGTAAGTTTACTTAATTGTGTGAAATTTTAGGTTCTCACAGCAATGGCAGTGAAGAGTCACAAAATCTAGTGCATGTGAGACATACTTGTTAAATATCTGTTCAATTTTAAAATTGTTTTGATATACTTAATGTACTACCTTTAAAATAGAGTATCTTCTTGCCACATGTTCAGAATAGCACTTGAGTTCATCCAATATTCTGTCTTATAAGTATTGGATGTGGAACAAGAAGAGCATGTGGATGACAAGTCATTTCTTACTTGAACAAAGAATAAGAATTTCTGAAGCTTTACCTCCATGATGCCTGTATGTTTTCATAGTGCAATGCTTGATTACAGGAACAGGTTTACTTTCAGAAGAATCCTGAAATTGCAAAAAATATTTTGAACTTTTTTTAAGAAGTATATTCTCATTTCATACAGTTTCACAATTGTATATATGCTCCTAGCGACTGTCCCTATTCCACTGATGCTAAAGAAGAAAGAACTGACAAAAACTTTGAAACACATTATGACAGTAAATTTTGCCTCTGAACCACATGATTGCCTTGTCTAACCTGTAAACATAAAGATACTTCTCATTGCCTGCACCCAGAATTTAGTTTGACATTTAAGACTGGAAAGTATGATTTCACAGTAAACTTCTCCTCCCACAGTAATATAATAGCCCAGTGTCCCCTGTCATGTAGCAAACTTAGTTCATGTTCAAAAGGGCTGTGGTTCAAATCTCAGCCTGGAGGCTATTCTAACTTAGGATTTTTATGGTTTTCTTTAATCACTCAAGAAAATGAGAAGGTAGTATCCTAAATTAGGTCACAACTGCTTTCTAGCATGACAGTCACAGTGGCCACGTGGTCTAAGGCATGAAATGTCTTCCCCCACTTGAACACTGGGATCATGGGTTTGAATCTCACTCAAGGCATGCATGTCTATGTTTATTCTATGTTTGTGTTAGGTAGCAGCCTTGTGATGGGCAGATCCCCCATCCAAGGAGTCCTTGGATTGTCTTAGTTTAAGAACATAGAATGAAACAAAGCATTTCACAGATGCCCTATGTTCCAAGTGGGAGCAAGCAACATGAATGGGAGGAGGAGGATTCTTAGCGAATACTTGCCAATTCATTTTTGGCTGGTCACCTTATTCAATGCTATGTAATCTAAGCTACTGACAGTGCCATGACATAGATTATAAATAAATACAGATAAATATTTTTGTAAGAAACTCATATTAGTCATGATTCTATTGCAGTGTATTTGTACTTTCAGATCATCTTCCATGGTACCGACCGCGACTCTCTGCACAGCTACTTGAGCCCAAAGTCACTACCTGCTCAATATGGAGGCACTCTAGAACTTCCACGGATTGATGGGCCTCAGTGGTACAAGCTGTTAAGCATGTGTGAGAAGGAATATGAAGGTAAAAGTTCTTTTGTTAACAAACTTTTATGACTTTGTTTTTAAACATTTTAATACTATAAACAAAGTATGTTGTTTTTAAGTTGGTGTCAGTTTCCTACTCATATATGTTTTCAGTTTGGAGACATTGAAAATAAGAAGAAACCTTTGCTCTCATCTCTTGATGCTCTAAGCTAACCATTTTCAACTTTAATATGCAATGAAAAAGCTAAATAATTCCATTAAGTGTGACTGGTTAAGATTATCTTATTTCAGTTATGTTTAACTAGTCACACTGAACAGAACTATTTAGCTTTTTCATAATATTAGTGTGATGGACCAGAATGAAACAAATCAAATTTAATATACAAGTTACAACGAAAATTTTAAGAAAAAATAATGTCTCCATAATGAAAAGATTTAGCAAGAAGGCAAAGTATTAACAAATGAGAAAAGTAAATGCCATCCAGGGTGGGTATTGACAAAAGTTGGAATTTCACCTGGGTTGTGCGAGTTTGTGTCTTCTCATTACTGATAGCCATTTTGCTCACCACTGTTAAGCTCATCACTTCACTTTCTTGCCATTTGGAAACATGAAGACAGTGGCTGGAGAACAATCCTTAAGTATCAGTATGTAAAGGAACACACACCATCTGTCAAGATTAGTAGAATATATTTTGATATATTATTAGTGTAACATATTTACTCAAAATGCGTCAATGTTTGATTCTTCTTTTAAGTTCTACCTCAGATACAGCCTGGCTTTTTAAATTTTCTATTGCAGTCCTATAACCAATTAAGTCCAACTTTTTAATGTTTCCACTGTGATGCTTCACCAGACAAAATCTGGACAGAAACTAGCAATTTCTTGACTGGTTGAAAATAAAATGGAAATATGCTTTTTCTGCAGAAATAGTTGATGTAGTGGGACAATATGGGATAACAAACTGGATGTCAAAAAGTGGATGGTTGAATGCATGTACTGCAGTGATATCAGAATGTCATATATTCCTCAGAAATTCCTCTACTTACAATTGTGTCACTTAAGGCTAAAGATGCCATTTTGCTTTTATGTTAAAATGTTTTTCAGTTCTTGTTGACTCACAGGACTTCTGCTTTTCATTTTTCCCACAAATAGCACTAAGAAACGTGTTTTCTTCCTTGCAGCTGTCAATTCCTATGGTTACAAGAAGGACGTGGAATCAAAGAAGTAGATTGATTAACATCATTGGAATGTAAATAGTGGCAGAGTATTTTGTTCTGTCATAATGAAGTCATTTGTAAAGAACCAATTTGCAAGCAGCACACTTTCAAATTGCTCTACTTCAGAAATTCTCCAGGTGCCTTCATTTCCATGTATGATGAAAATTCTCTGTGCATTCATTTAATTATGCCATTATATAAATTACAGAATATAGAGAATCAATATCCAAAAATTAGCCAAGTTTTACATTCAGTTTAAATATTCCAACTATTTCTACATTCCATTCTTTTACAGTGTACAATATTAGTTTTAATACACGCATTACAAGTATTTATGGAGTACTTAAACTAATGAGCCATATCTCATAGTATAACAATTCTTAATAATTTTGGAAGAAAATAATTATTTCCCATCTGGCTGCCGATAGTGATATTACGTGAATTGAACACAGGATTGGTGATGGAGGAAAATGTGAAGATTATTTTTCCACTTCTCTCCAACTGTACTCTGTCCATGCAGCTGTTATCAAGCACCATTATTATATGTGATATTTTGGTCAGGTCCTGGTCTGTTTATGAACTGGATTTCCATAACCTGTTCACTCACAAATCAATCTACATATATACATATTTCTTGTATGGTGAAAGATGAACATACACACCTAAGAATATTACATCTTTGTTCTACAATATCATTGATTCAGCCAATAACTAAGGCACAGATTTCTTTTATTCAAATTGAGATGACTTATTTTTATAGGGGAATGAGTGGGTTTAAATTATATATTAAAATTATCTCATATCAAGTATTAAAAATTAGTAGAAAGAATCAGGGATGAGATCCATAGTATTTTAATAAAAATAGAAGTAATTGTATTAGATGTTATATATAAATATAAACAATTATCAAATGGTATTACTACTGAAGTACAAGCATCTAATGGTTCTTCATACTAAGCTAGAATTTTAGTATATTCTGTTTCTTATGCGACATCAAAATGACCTAAATATACGACTGAACACTTTGTTAGAAACTTTGGTTATTAATATATTTTTATTCTAAATGTTTGTTCCAAAAGCTTCATATTTGTGAGATGTGAGGTTCTCATGACAATAAGTATCAAGATCAGAGTTATGATATGTTTGGTGGATAGATACCCGCATTTTTGAGAATACAGTTTCCTAATTTACACATACTCCAACCAAGAAGACCATATGTAGTGGTAATACAAGTGTTCGTTCAGATCTTCAAGTAAATTGTGTCTGTTCAATTTCTCAGATACAAAATTTGCTTTACTTACACTAACTTTTATTAACATTTTCATATGTAAGCTTTTATAAGAAAATCTAGTAACAGACAAATGGGTCAGGCTAACATGAACTGTTCATAATTTTTTCATTTTGTTTCTTAGGAAGACACCTAAAGTTTGGATTTATATTATCACACCCAAATTCCCACATTATTTCTGTCATATTTCTGTTTATTTATGTAATAACTAAATTCTATGAAACAACACTTCCAGTGATGCAGATGCATGCTATCTGGTAAGTAATTTCTTGTGATGGGCAAGTGTAATGCACAAGTTACATATCATAGTAACTTTGAACTCAGTTCAGTGTACTGAAATCTTTGTCAGTACTCACCAAATAACAAGCCAACGACGACATATCGTATTTTCAACGTGTTTAACGAAGAATTCCTATACAGAAAACTGTAGACCTGTAACGTTGTTTGTAAATAGTTTAAATATAAATGAGAATTCTTGGAACATTCCTGAGTAGGCCTATAATAGTTTCAGTTCTTCTTCAGCATGCAGTCCCATGCACCTATCCAGCCTGGTGGCAATTGGCCTAGTTACCTCACTGCTGCATCATTTCATTTTTAGTACATGAGCAGAGTTGTAATTTGCTGCCTGCCTTCCCCAGCACAGTTATTCTTGGTTTCAGGCCCCACTGGGACCCATGACCATATTCTTGTTTTTTCCAAGGCTACTTATTTGTTTTGAAATGAGGTCTCTTCTTCAACAAGAAGAGAGCTATGTCTTTCTGGGTTTTGTTTTTTGGAGAAGTTAGCTGCTGGTTTCGCCCTATTCCACTGTATTATAGGTATAGTTGGTGCTTAAACATAATTCTTTGATACATGCCACCAATTTTAAGTTATAAGCTCACTCAACACACTCACTTGAATTATGATATCTTTTAATTTCTGCTAATTCCATCATTTTTTGTGATTTTACTAAATGAATACTAAGAAATGCAGTTTTAAAGCACACTATCCAGTATATATTTGCACCAATAAATATTTAGAAAATTACTCTCAAGATAAGCACAGAAATGAGAGTAGGTCTTCATGTAATATGGCCATTAAAATTATCCAATGTAAATGAAAATTGAAAGAGCTCAGTAGTTCTTTGCAAAATTCCTTGGCATCAGATATCACAAAAATCTGTCCAGCAGTTCTTGAATTGTCACATGCATTAAGAACGAAGAATACACTGTGTGAATTTAATGGGCACTCTGCAGGATTGTACTGTAATTGCTATTAAAAGTTATATGGATAAGCCACAAACTGGATAAGACACACAAATAACTGGAATTATACTGTGTTCCTTTCCTAAAGTTCCAATATTGTACTTAATTCTGTTGTGTCTTGAAAGAAGTTCTGTAAATAGTACATAATAGGAAGTTTGTTTTTAAATATGTGTATGTATGAGAGCCTGTTATGCATTTGATTTTGTTAAAAATAAAATGTGACAAGGTATATTTTTATTTCTCATTGCAATAAATACTTTTAACTGAATTAGTGAGGGCACATGTTTTACTTTACCATCTGAATATGAAAAATAACAAACATTTAAGATTTTAATAATAAAACATTTCCAACATTTTGAACTTTCTTCTCAGAGGCAACCTTCTGTTTAAACTACAAATTTACTTACCATACAAGACTCACTTAAGAATTAAAAGTTGTACTGAAATATTAAAAGATTCACATTGAATAATTAAAATTCTAAGTTCAAGTAAAAATATATTGAGCTTTCGTTTTAGAAACAGTATATGCTGAGTTGACTCCGGGGCCATAGTGCGGCTGTAAGGATTAGGTCAATTAAAAAAAATCGAATGACCTCATCGGGAATAGAACCCGCGACCTTCCAGCTTGCAGCATAGTGCCTCAACAAACTGTGCTACTGAGGCCGCGCCATAGGTAAAGCACTTAGTCGCTGGCTTAAAGGCCGCACCATAGCTCAAGCGGTTAGTTGCTGGCTTTCCACTGTGGCGGCCCGGGTTCGATCCTGGGTCTGGTCAAGTGGGATTTGTAGTGGACAAAGTGGCGTTGGGGCGGGTTTTCTCCGAGTACTTCGGTTTCCCCTGCCAATCTTCATTCCTCCAAATTCTCCATCATCATAATCAACCAGGGCAGGCTACAATAGGCCAATCAGTGGCCACCGTGCCAAGTGGACCCAGCTGGACTCCACCCCCCACTAAGCAAAATGCCTTTATGCTAGGTCTCACAAGTGATATTTTGTCTTAAAGTTTTGAACCAACATTTTTTACCGGTTTATCAACATCACACATGCTTCATGCTCCACCCATTTCGTAAGTCTCATAATATTTGATGATTAGTATGGGTTTATTACATCAGAAATTGTATATGCACATAATTGGTTAAAATTGTAATTCCTATTTTTATAGCAACAAATCAAATACTGCCATATACAGAGTTTCACTGTATGGTGGATATCAGGTTCTCACAGCGGTGACTTTGAGTACTGTATTTTGGACTGTAACACAATGTAGTTCAAAAAAAAACGCTGAGGTTTCTGGGGGGGGGGGGNGAAGTAGGCAACAAGCAGAGTTCTCCTTGCGCCCTGCTCCTTAAGTTTCTTGCTTGGCCTTACCCTTCTACTAGGTTTGAAGCCGGGTCAGGTCATCTGGGATTTGTGGTGTACAAAGTGGCACTGGGGCACTTCAGTTTTCCCTAACAATCTTCATTCCACCAGTTGCTTCACAATCACCATCAGCTTTAATCTCGGGGTGGTACAGTAGGCCTTTAGTGGTTGCAGTATCAAGTGGACTCCGTCTCACCTTACTAAGAAGAATATCTTTCTATAGGGAGGGAGTACTTCGGTTTCCCCTGCCAATCCTCATTCCATCAAATTCTCCAGAAGCATTATCACCAGTACAGGTACAATAGGACATATGGAAGCTGACGTGCCGAGGGTACCTAATGTGGATTCCACCTCACACTATAAGGGTATGAAATCTTAACTATTGTAATCTACTGTAATCTATTGTAACTTTATTCTCTTATTGTAATCAGCCAATGTACAGTAACTGACTTGTCCTAAATCATGTAACAATGATCTTTAGAGACGAAATAAATAAATAAATATTCCTCCCAAACATAGGCAAACCTCTGCTTGCCCCCGCTCTTTACTGTTTCCTTGCTTGGCTTACTCTTCTGTAAGATGTAGGTAACATGTTTGTCCTAAATGTCTAGCAGAGCTCCGCTTTCTGCCTCCTTTTTGCTGGTTTCTTGCATGGCGTACTTTTCCATCATGAAGATGGAGGTAATATATTCCTCCGAAACGTCGCTGACTTACATGGGGTTACAACCCAGGAGATCGTACTTTTAATGGCACAGTATGATTTATCTAAACGATGAAATACATTTAAATCGACTCAAACCAATGTATAGGCCTGTTCTGACACGATACTGAGATTTAAAGATACACAGAAAGGCCGATGTCATCTCTTGTTTCCTTCAGTGACAAGATACTATGAGTAATGCATGTATCTATGATCTTCGAATCGATATTAATTATATCGATTCCTTACGATATGCTTTATGCACTTGTCATTCTGTAATCGTCGAGTTACGAAGGCCGTGCACGTGTGTAGTATATCCAGTGAGTTTGTGTAAAACTGTGGGCTTGCTGACATCTCGAGATGAAACTTTCAGTTGTGTGTGAGGTAAGACATTATTTGACACTTCTGTAAGCGGTAAAAATTTAATACGTATTTGTCATCGTCCAACGTAACCTGTACTTCTGCATCTTTAATTGATCTATAGAGGTTATGAGGGGCCATCATAATTCACTTGGTAAAGTGAGGGTCGGTGTTCGATTCCCCGTAGAGGCAATAGATTTTCACCTTCTCCATAGTGCCTAGACCGGCTTTGGGGCCTAGCCAGCATCCTATACAGTGGGTACCGGGTTCTCTGTCCCCGAGAAGCAGCCAGGACGTGAAGCTGACCATTCAGTTCCATCTATTACCGAGGTGTAGAATGATCCAACTATACCTCCACTACCCCATATAATTCATGGCGTGGTGCTTAGGTAATTAAGCGACGACTTTTCAATTTACCCTTAACCAGAGCCGTTACAGTTGATGGTGTTTAAAAATAATAAAAAGTTCATTTATCCCTGGGGTTTAATTAACTAAGAACCACTCCGTGGGAGTGGAGGTATAGGTTCACCATTCTTAACATCGACACTAGATGGTGAGTGGTCAGTTTCACTCTCCGGCCGTTTTATCCCCAATACCCATTGAATAGGAGGCCAGGTGGGCCCCAGAGCCGATCTGGACGTTATGAAGGAAGGAAGAAATCACTTGCCCCTACCAGGGATCGAAACCTGATTCCTCGGTCGTCCAGCCCTTAGCCTAGTCGCTATGTCGATTATACGTGTTCCCGTTTAGGAAGTGTTCATAAAGTGAATGTATTTGTAATCATAAATATGTACGATTTTAGCCATTGTTATAGGCCATGCTTTTCGAGGAATCTTGTAAATATCCAGCCGGTTAACGTAGCGGTTACTCTGTAGACTCGTGTTCGGTAGGTCATTGGTTCGAAACTCAGCGTGACACTGACTAACCTGACCGAGGTTTACATGGTTTTGCTCGATCGCCCCAGACATTTGACGGTGTAGTTTTTGTTAATGAAAGCATCAAACTGTCGAAGGGTTCGGGTTGTTGCCATATGAATTCTTGTTAAGTGGACATAGTAGAATTTTCGGAGGAACAGTCAACTGGGGCTAGTGCTGAATGTTACTGATGGTACTTCCTACTGATTGCTACATGTAAAATAAGAATGTTTCTGAATATTTTTCTTTTTTATTTTCAGAAGTCAGAACTGTAAAATTAACATACCACGTCACTCTATCTCGCTGATTTGGGATTTTCTCGATGTTAAGACACTTTTCCGTCGCAGCAACATTTTAAACATTGCTATTTCACGAGGACATAATCATATCACCTAGCCATATGTTAGATCATGTAAAACACTGCGTAGGATTTGAGATTCTCATAGCAATGACTACGAGGAGTTCTATCTTCTGGGTTATAACTCCGTGTGGCCGTTGAAAGCCTTCACGTACTCTTCTTATACAACACTAATCTACGAATATATAAATCAAAGTGTATTTTTAAGCAAGATTATAGTCTTCTGAGTAATGACACCGTGTATTCTCGTACGTGGATCACACAGTCCACATCACTAACATGGCTGAACGGCCATCACCCAGAAGTCACTAAACTAAATGGTCACTGTCATGAAGGTCTCAAATGTAATATAAATAAATAAAATTGCCTTTTACCTGGCAGATCCCAACAACTGTAATATTGTTCTTCATTGTGTAAGATTTCGAGGTTCTCACAATGGTGGTTAGGAAGAGTTCTGTCTTCTGGGGTATAATGCCGTGTAGTCCGTTGAAATTCAGCATATGTTTCGGGGACACATTTCGCTTCCATCTTTAGGGTCAAAATTACTCTGCTTGCCACCTGCTNAGCCAACGAGACCGGCTCTACTAGCCGAGAGGTATCTATAATGCTTCCCCCATCTACCAGATGTATTAGAGACTGCTGTTGGGCGGGAAACGTCCGTTAATTTGGCTCAGTGACCTCCTTTGGAGATATGAGGTTCTTTTACGTGCCGTAAAGCTACGACACGGGGCCCACGGCTTAAAGTCCCTCCCGGAGGACTTGTTCCCTGAATTTTTCCGCCCTTAAAAATTCGACGACCTCCGCCGGGTATTTGAACCCGCGTACTACGAGTCATGAGGTGGGAACGTTACCTCTAGACTACGGAGGCCGCTTCACAATGGTGGTTAGGAAGAGTTATGTCTTCTGGGGTATAATGCCGTGTAGTCCGTTGAAATTCAGCATATGTTTCTGGGACACATTTCGCTTCCATCTTTAGGGTCAAAATTACTCTGCTTGCCACCTGCTTCCTGGTTTCTTGTTCGGCATATTCTTCGACCCTTAAGGTGGAGGCGACATGTTTCTCCGAAACGTCCGTTGACTTTCAACGGACTACATGACATTATATCCCAGAATATATAACTCTTCGTTGTCATTATTTGAAAATATTTTGCTATATAGGTGGAACGTGTGGAATATAGGGGAGACTTTTAAAAATATAGGTACACAATTCCAGACAGATACCTGAAATGAAGGGACCGCTTGGAAGACTTGGGCAAATGTGGCAGGATGATTACGGTATTATGCTGTCGCTCTTCCTCTTCTGAAGTGTCTGTTGAGGTCACAACATCACTCGCCATTCATATTATAACATATTTTAAATTTATTTAACAGTCATCACTACACATAACGTTACAAATTGAGAACCTTTGTTGGTCTTTGATAATTGCAGTTTGTTACATTTTTGCAATAATAATGACTAGTTGATGTCGCGTGCGGTCACTTCGGACGTCAGAAACAGTCTCTCTTTGTGCTGTAGAGAACTGCGTATCAATAACGCACAACTGCCGCTGGATTGCATCATGCATTCCTTCGAAACTGTTCCCTGCGACGTGATAGTTTCACAAACAAATCAACCCAAAGAGTTTTTTTTTAACTTCGTGAGGTGTTGCGTCATATAACACAATTCTCTTCGTAGGGTCTAATATTTTTTTTAATTCGCTTGGTGGGGGGGGGGAGTCCAATTGGGTCCACTCGGCACGGCGGCCACTGATTGGCCTATTGTAGCCTGCCCCCGGTGATTATGATGATGGAGAATTTGGTGGAATGAAGATTGGCAGGGGAAACCGAAGTACTCGGAGAAAACCCGCCTTA